GGGGGGGGGGGGGAAGCTGCCACTGACAGGAGGTGACAAATTCAACTGCATGACAATACCTGAATGTCCACGAATGTTGATCCATTATCACTGGAATAGCTGAGAGTAAAATTTGTTGTCACACTGGCTCCAGGTAGCCCTTGCACCTCCACCCCACAAATATCGTATTTTTGACCCAGGTTTATCTCAAGATATGGGTCCCCGTCTGCAGGGTCTGTATCTGGGCACCAAGTGCTTGTTCCTTCCAGACGACCAAATTCAGGCAGAAAATTGTTTCCATTGTTTGAGCTGGCAGTCATTTGAGCGTCAGGAATGACCTTTAATTCGTTACGAATTCCAACATTGGTCTCATTACACGTGCCTATAAACAAGGTTAAATGCCAGTAGAAGATGCTTTGGAATCAAATGAAGTGAAATTGAATTGAAATGAAATTGCTTTGGAATCAATACTTAGGGACAATTACCAGGGTGTTGGTTTCGAAAAGTCAACTGACGATTTCATGTCTCTCAGTGGCCGTACAGTGTATTCACGAACTCCAAACGTAACTAATAGGCTACATTACTAATGTCAATGAGGTCGATGGGTAATCGATGAGTAATCAATGTTTTATTCATTGATTATCGCCGATGATCCACGAATAATCGTTGAAAGTTGAATCAACAGGCCACGGTCATCGATAAGTCATTGATCTCACTGATAAGTCAACGATTGGGGAAAGAGTTTTTTAGCTTTACAAACCATACTAAGTCGAAAATATGAAAAAGTAAAAATACTGTTTTCAGGTAGATGTCACAGTACAAATGTTATTTAACTTTCTACGACAACGACTGAAACTTGAGTGAGAATCATTTTCTTCGTGATTGTTGTTAAATCGAACCTGGAATATTTTCAGTTAAGGTTGCCAGTTAGTCTCGAGAACAGAACTTTTTGGTAGCTCAGTATTTTGACCACGGCATGTATTTCACCAGTAAGCTAAATTTAACCATTTCACATTTATACTTATACGTGGAAAAAAATACACCACCTCAGATCTAGAGGCAGCGTTTTAGTTAGCCGAAAAAAACTGTCTGATGGCAGTTTTCTCTTACCAGAAGTCGATGTTATGAGCTGAAATACCGCCACAAATATTTGTAACCACGTGATCGTTGCCATGACCGTCTGCCTATCTTGTTTTTAACGGCTTGCTTTAGTGTACTTCAACACGGTCTAAAAATTCAGAGATGAACAAGAAAAATGGTCATAAATAGGTTAAAAAGTCTATTTACCTCGTTTCTAAGTTGTGCGTACACCTACAAAATATACGTTTTAAACCCCCATTCAAGTCAGATGGGTGGGGTGGGGGGGGGGGATAGCAAAATTGAATATAAGGCTTATTAAGTCAGTTATTGATGCAGATAGCCTGTGTAGTGTTAGCCCACTGTGTGTCCATTATAACACTCCCTTCAGGCTGGTTCATCAATGCCTCTCGCTGAGCTCCTGGTCTTTTCTATTAGCTGAAAACACGCTAAGTCGTCGAACGTCAGTTCTGGTCACAGAATGAACACCGTGTAAAAGCACCTAATAAACAGATCTTTGTTTGATTCGTACTTGATCTTTACATTTAAAAAACAGTGATGTGTTCATAGCAACTGTTCCTCTTCTTTTATGAACAGTTTCTGTATATCTGTGTACCAATTCTTGCACGTTTCACACAAAAAATGGCGCTGAGGTTAAACGGCTCTAGTAACAGCTGTGTTCACTGTAAGAAGTTCTTTTTTCCAACTATTTTGAAGTTTGTCGCCATGGGGCACTAGACACAGTGTTTTTTAAGAGAATGTGATGTCAACTATAATAAAGTTTCATAACATCTAATTGCTGGAGTGATGATAGCCTTTAAACTCGAAATTTTGCCGATGAAATTTCAGGGAGGTTTGTGAAACCTGCCGACAAGCTCCCGCGCTTTCGTTTTGTAAATCATTTTCCCAAGATATCTTGATACGATAAAGAAATTTTGCCTTCACAGAGATATTTGTTTCGTGGTATACAGCAAGAAAACATTGCACAGAATGATATATTCCTCAGCTTTACTGGGGTATCTTAGGTAGAACGATGATATAAAAGTGGGAATAACTGAGGCCTAAACAATAACGAGCCAGCTTATACCACAATGAGAATAGATGCAAGACAACTAGACAAACAAATTCGGTGAAAGGTCACGTTCCATACCTGTTTCGATTTTAAAATAATTCATACACATGATTTGAGCTCAACAATGGTTGAATTCCATGAGAGAAATTCACTATTGCTGTAACTCGTAAAGAGGGAGACGTTAATTCAACAAATTATGTGCCACCAATTCCAACTCGCTGTTTTACGAATGTCGCGAGCTTTTCATTCCGAAAAAACCCTTACGAGAAATATTACTGCTTCTAATGGATTATTAAGAGGGAAGGAAGAGGCAGATTTTAAGCTGGTATGTGCAACCGTCTGTTTCACAAATGTCGCAGAATTTCATTCCGAAAACCCTTACAGAATTGTTTCTTATAGTTAATTCAGAGGTTAATAACCTAACAGATGATATCATTTTTGTAATTCTTGCTGTTCACTATTCTTTTAAACGCATCGTTAGGAAAATTTGTTTATGATCAACAAACAACTAAAGAAAGTTCTAGAACATTTCTGGTTTAACTTTGCATTGGAAGGAACCATTTGCCCAATTCAATGGGCCATTAAATAAAATAACCTAGCTTAGTGTAAACTAATTTTTACCATTTCACAATATCTCCTGCACATTAGTGTATTAGCAACGAAACGTAAATGGATTATAAGGACAAGAAACACATTGTCAAAGGTTAACCGTAACAAGTCACTAATAAATATATTTTCAGGCACTATGCACTGACTAAAAATATAATTTACAGTGAACACAATTTCTTCTTTCAGTTTTACGTAATGGAATTATGAACATTGTACACGTATTTGCCATACAGATTGAGCTAAGCTCTTTTTGATATATTCCTGAGGTAATAAAAATGTATTTATTTTAGGTGTTTAATTAGGTTGCTTTGTATTAGTTTGCACTGGGACAATTAGACCTTTATATACCACTCCTTGTGAATATCACATCACTTGACACCGACCAGTTAACTCGAGGCTGTTTTTTCCTTATTGTAAGAGGGTGTAAATATCGTTGTTTAAAATAGCGTGTACCATTTTCTTATATTCTCTGGCTTGTAATCTGTATTCAGCGTGTCTCAGATTTGTGTTAATAAACTCGATTATTGCGGGCGGCTCCCTCCACTATTTGTTGTGTTATTTGTCTCCTTTACTTATAATAGAATGTCTTCTATTCGGCTGAGCAAAGCGGAAGGGAATAGAACTGGATTTACATTAATAACTATTCCTGTTTAAGACTTGCCGAATGGCACGGCGAGGATGTCATCTCTCCTTAGTGTAGTTTTTAACTTATTATTGCAAACCGCTACCCCAACTTATGAGAATTATAACAATCAAATGCATACGTTCTAGTAGTGAACCGTCAAACAAGGAGAGCAGCTGGGTTAATTGTCTTAAAGCAAAAATAGCATTTCAAATAATCTAAATTTTGAAACTCAGTAAACTATTGAGCTTTACTCAATATAAGGCAAATGACTACTTTAGTGCAAGCAGTTTAACTGTTCTGACTGTTACGTTTTTGTAAGTGTGGCTGTGTTTAATTTTTCCTGCATTGCCTTGTCGTTACGCGATACGCCGGAGATAGTTCTTTGGCAAGAAGCAAATAATTTTAAGATTCTTTGGCTAGAAGCAAATAATCTTGAGATGCATCTATCGCAAGGTAGAAAATATTAAAGTAATAAAATGCTAGAAATAAACTTTTTCATAATTCACTGTTGTACTTTGTATGCATATTTATATGGGCTTCCCATTCGAAAACTTCATTCGCCACGCAAATTTGTCAAGAAGTACTCAGTTCACGTTTTGTCGGTTTGACGATATGATAGGATTAATTAATGTTTCGCCTTTGATCAGTTCAAAACACACTTATGTGGTCGCTATCTACACTTTTTAAACTCTTTCGTGCGTTTAAAAACTATTCACGAACAGTTATAGGTAAAATTTTCATGTTATTTCCGCAAATGAAATTAAACATTCAGGCTAAGCTATTCTGCAAATGAACATGACGCGTTCTGCGTCAGTGATTCAGTCGTTCTCAGCCTCTGGACTTCTTAATTTACAATACAAATAGGTCAATGATTGAAGTGTGTTCGAAATATTGCTCTTTGTCAAATAAAAACAACATCTTCAACTCTATTTTCACAAGCAATTATTTGTCAGGATTCAAAATGATCAACAGGTTGGCATATAAATTCCAAGAACGGTTGACTGCGTGCCTTCGACATTTTATAAATAGAAAGGAATGCTTTAAAATGTTCACCCGATCTTTCGTAAATTTCAAATAATACAGACATGGCAAACTGAAAGTAAAGATTGCGATTAGTCTAATGATCAATTTTCAGCGAAGTTAACAGACGAAAAGACAATTGTAATTTTGGATCCAAGCATTAATTACCAGCATGAATTACTTGTGATTTACATACCAAAAGCTGGGGGTGTCTCAAATCTCAAGTGAAAACTCGTGCAACGAAGTTTTTCGAACTTTTTGATGTAATTCCAATGAAGTATCAAATCTTTCGGTTCATCTAACGGCGAGTATATGTAAATGTATGCAGCTCACTTCGAGTATGAAAGTGTCAGGCTTTCGTAAGATTGCGATTTCGTACGTACGTACGAAAACACAAGGTAAGTTTTGATAACAAAGCGTAAATCTTTTCGCTCTGAGAGCCTTGTAAACGCAGTTATGCAGGAAGAAGAGCTATATCTTTTCGATCAAACAGAGTTACGCAAGAAGTAAGCAAGCAAATTCACTTACCTTGCCGTTTACTTCGTGAGCCAATGATTATCAATGCATATCGGACTTTAACTGATCAACCGCGGAAAAAAGCAACCAGCAAATTCAGTTCTCAATAGCTATGCACGTGGACATATGATTGTTGTTGTTTTCAAATGCTTGTCCCAAAACTATCTTTGCGCTATTGACGCACGATGGCAGAATCTCGAAAATTCCTTCAGTGGGTTCTATGACTTACAACCGAAACTATTTTGGCCCCAAGGGTACCCAACTGCTGAGTTAATTGACATGTATTTAAATTATTCTATAAGCGCAGATTTTTTAATCCTCAGGTGTACAACTGTGGCTTTCAGTCTCACAGACCTGTCCTTTGTTAACTTATGATTAAGTAAGGGATTTCAAGGACTCTCCAAAAAAAAAATGCCCAGGAAACGTCGCAGTGCTAAATCACGGTTTTGCCCCCATATTGATAAGAAAGCACTATTTATTAGTTGAAAGGGATGAAATGAAACAGTAGGGCATTGATTATTACCTTTAGTTTGTGTCACAACAAACAAAAGCTGTACGTTAGCAACTGATTCGCTTCCCTGCTCTGAGATGTAGGCCCGCTTAGCGTACAGAGTATGGAACAAATGTAGTTTCATTTCAAAAACCACCGACATTTGGAAAGAAGCGCTGGAGTGAATTTCATGAAATGAGAGGTACAGGCATTTCTCGCGAACCAAAAATGTCCATTATCTCCTTCTACCCTCAATTTAAAACTTTAAAAGACATTGTTTTCTATGTCATTTTTTCCCGATCTTTAGTAAGCATTGTGAAAGTCTCTTTGCCTCTTCGCCAATTTTAAACACCCTCTGTAATAATTAAGCCCCCTTCAAGACATTTGGTTTTTAATTAGTCCTTTTTCCTTAAGCAATCTTCGTTTCTTCGACACTTCCATTTCCAGTATAGTAAACGTTAACAATTTGTAATCAGGAAGTGAAATTATCTGGCAGATAACCGTCGGATAACTATAATTTTATGAGTTACCCTACTTCCTCTAAAGAAATAGAAAACATTGTCTGTATTTTAAAACAGTACTAGAAAACTGAATGATGTGTAAGTCGCCAGTGATTGTATCCACATCATTTCTGGCGCATCTTACGAAATCGTTTCATCGAACTTTGCTTGGCAGCTATTTATATTTGCCTTTATAAACAATTTGAACGCTCAGAGGTCTAAAAATTCGGTCACCATTTATTGTATGTGAAAGCCTACCTTTAACCTCTTCCCCTGTAGATGCCCGATAAGAACGACTTATGAACCAACGGCAGAAGCACTCCAAGTTGTTGTCTCCGCCTAATATCCGTAACTGAAATAACTACTTTGAGTTAGACCAAAAACAACAGATTATAGTAGTCTGCAGATTAACATAAAAAAGCTTCGATGCGCAGTGCGGGTTGACCGTTCCGTTTAAGCGCTATCTATCTGTCATAAAGTTCTGTCTGTCTACAGTTCCTCTTCGAAGCTTGCAAAACTTCCAATTGAAGCGGTGTACGATAGCTTTGCTTGTAGTAAGATTAGTGCATCTACTGGTCAACAAGAATCAGCCACATAAGATCGGATTCATATCCCGGGGGTACACTACAAAGTTCTGCACGGGGAGGCTACGCCCCGAGATCCAACCCCGTACCCTTTTTTTATACCGTTTTGACAAAAAAAGTTACCCCTTTCGTAAACCTTTAATCGGAAAAGAGTACCCCCTTTCACATACGTTTATAACTAGCCCGTTTTATGAATTAGTCGCCAAAAATGGCGAAAAAGTTTTCTTCTCATTTTCATGCAGTGTAGTGCGTAATAAATGAAATGATACAGCCATTACGTGCGTCTGTTTGGAATATTCTGATTAAAGGCTCTTTTAAATAACTAAATTACAGATTTACCTACCATTTCATATACGTCAATTTGTATAATCCCTACCCT